CGAGACGAGACATGGGTTTTATGGAAGATTTTGTGTAGAAGTGATCGTTTCGGCGCCGATTCAACGGGATTTACAGAGACTTTCGGCAGAGTTCGTGGATCCATCGAGTAAATGGTATGCGTGATTTCTACTTTCAGTTCTTCTCCCTTTTGTTCTTTTGGGCATTACATGAGGGTCAACAGTTTGATATCACCCGACCTTTGATATTTCTCATTGACTGTTGCACGACACCTACCAATAGGTGATGCCTGATGCCGACCTTCTCAAGTTGCCTAGTCTCCCATTCTATAAAAAGAGCAACAAAGCTGACTACCAGATATAATCCAACCTCTGACATTCCTCATTGACTGTTGCTTAATGTCTGCCAACAATCGACGTATAAAATCCATCAACCAAAACATCCACACGCCAATTGGCCTAATCACTAGGTCCTTCTTATTAGGAGGTTGGCTAAGCCGACTGTAGACTATCGCTCAACTTATGGCATTCCTAATCACCTATCACTCGATGCCCGCCACCATTCAATGTTATTTAGTTATCAACGTCTGGCGCCTATTGATTGATTTCTCCTACTATCAAATAAACAACCAAATTAAGCACCCACCATCACCTGATAACAAGTCAAGAGCCTCAAGATTACTATTACCACCCTCATAAATATCTTCCACGATTCAAGTTTCTAAAATTATATCAATGCTTGCTCCAATTACAAGAACAGGAGTCATTTGTAACCAAATTGATCAAACTCATACAATTTTTTCAACTAAGCTAAGCATCATGATTTTTTTTTTTTCATTTTTCAAATTTTTCACATAAAATTTTTCATGTCTCTTATGTGTTGCTCTTATTTATGGGTGCAGTATTTTTCGAATAGTGTTTAGATGATTAACTCTCCATCCATCATCATAAATATTCTAGCACAAAACAATTTAGTGTAATTTGTGGAAAGTAACTCACGATAGAGAGGCAACTCTGGCTGCAGCTTCAAAAGGATGTTAACATTAATGATCGGGAATAATTGTGGTGAAATAGCTCCTTTCCTCTATCATCCATTGACAGATCAAGGCAAACCCTTCACCTAATGCAGTGTCAAAAATAACAAGGTGGTTGTTCGTTGTACTGACAAAGTTGGCTTGAGGTTCTATCTAAATAGCAATCCTGAAGAAATGTCCATATTAATGTTTAGCAAATGGGTGTAGTTGAAAGGATCTAAACCAAAGTATTTTTTTTTTCAAAGCATCCTATATAGAGGAAGAATACCATAAGAGACTTCCAAGAGAGCTTCATCTCTGCCTATAGCCCATAGAAGGGCTCCATAATAAAAAAAATTCCCAGATAGGAGTACCAATTCAAACTCCAAACGGTACTTTAGGCAAGGCCCTCAATGAAAGTTCTTATAAAGGCTAAATAATCTCTAGACCACAAAAGGATAAGTGATAAATAATGTCTCCATTTATTTAAAAAATTTCAAAAAGCATACCAATTCGAAAGCCCCAAAAATATATAATATTGGGGAGGTTCCTCACTAAAAATCTTTAAGGGCATAATCTATGGATCCCAAGAAAGCATAATCAGAAACAAAAATCACTTTATTCAAAGGTCCTCATGAGACTTATCATTGCATGGATCACAAAAAAACATTACAAACAAAGGTCTCCTTATTCAAAAGTCTCCATGAGACCATCATCGCATAGGCCCCAAGAGGGCACGACTATGCATAAAAATATTTTTATTCAAAAGTCAATAAGATGGATCTTACGAGAGAAAATGGTGTGCATAGTCTACATTTATCTAAAAAATCTTAAGATAACACCCCGATTCAAAAGTCTCAAAGGACATCTAGTGCAAGACAATGTTTTCACTACAGAATCCCTACAAAGTCTCAATATCACAAAAGCCACAAGAAGCCACAATGCACTAAGGGGAAGTAAGGACTACCCAACTCTATAAACTAAAGGATAAAACCCACATTGTTCCATATAAGAGGAAAATATCATCTTGCTATCAACTTAAAGATCTAACAACCTCGACTTTTATCACCTCAATAAAATCAAGAGATTTCATTCCATTATCAACGATATCTAAAGGGTTAATTTAGTCTCCTCAAGGGTTCGCAATCCTTGATTTTTTCTAGAAACTCCTATACAAGGGTTTCGGAGTCATGGGTTTTCACTCTCAACACTACAATCTAATTGACATTCAATAAAATCTTTCTACCATAACTCAGGAGATAATCTATAAAGTTTAGAAGAAACATATTATTTCTTTCAAAATTCATCAAGGTTTGATAAAATGTTCAAACTTTAAAGAATGATATTCTACAAAACTATCATATTGTTGGGAGACTAATTTTTACAAATTATTGCAATGACTAATGGTTGTAAATGCAAAAATATTCATCACTACCTTCTGCCTAACTCTATCGAATTATTTAAATAAAGAATAGTGTTTCAACAAAAAAACAATTTGAGATAACATAAATATGAGATTAATGAATTAAAATCCTAGACATATACACATATAAAGAAGTCATCTTTCCAATGACACCAAAAATGATCAAAACTAGCTAATTTGAAATATAAATGAATTTTTCTATGTAAATAAAGGAGCATAGGAATTGCTAACGAATAGCTACTTTAAATTTTTCAAAGAAATTATTTTGAGAAAATTTCTAAAAATTTTTAGGAAGAATCTCACATTAAAAGGACCATTCATTAAAAAAATGAACATTCTTTCAAAAATTATGATGATGGAGTTTTAAGTTAAACACCTTTGAAAGAAGCATAGATGAGTGGAAGAACCCATAGCAAAAAAATTTGGTCATGAACGGGAAAAAGCACCAAATATCATTGAAAATTGATCAAAAATCTTAAAAACTATGTTACATATCGAACCATCTTTTTTGCTATAATCTCCACATCACCTTGTTGATGGTATACCATCGAATCAGCCCCCATATAGCTCTTACTGAACAACGGGTTCGAGAGCAATTAGCTTCTTTGCAAAGGAAAATTAAAGTTTTTAGAGGAAAACTATAATATCTCCTTGATTCAAATCCATCCAAATGAGGATAGCTGACCTTTTTAGAGGAAGGTCAAAATCTCACAGCAAGGACTATGGACCTTGAATACCTCTCCTCAAATCAAATCCATCCAAATAAGAACATAGTTGATCTCATTTTTGGAGCTATAATGGAAGCTCGCAGCAAGGATGGTGAGCCTTAGATATCAGTCCACAGATCAAATTCCTTCAAACGAGGGTAGGCAACTTCTTTTTAGAGGAAAATCAAAACATCGCAATAGGGATCATGAACAATAGATATCACTCTTCGAATCAATCAAACCACACAAGAATATTCGAGCTCTTCTTAAGAAATACCAAAGCCTCACAACAAGGGTTATGAACCTTTTATGCCTCTCATCAATTCAAATTCATCCAATTGAGGATGGAGACCTCTTTTTCGAAGGTATATCAGAGACTAGAAAAAAATATGAACCTCAAATGCCACTCACAATTATCCCACTTCCAGGACAAATTTTACCTTTTTTTAGAGAAAAGTTGATGCCTTGGAGAAAAATTATGATCTCTCCTAACCCAAGAGAAGTTTATAATATTGCAAGAGAAGAAGAAAGGGATTTTCAATAACGTGCTGGGATCTTTTCGGAGTGAATCTTCAAAATATTCAAAGCCTACTTATCCAAATTCCTTTAAAAACGACTTTAAATTCAAATTTTCAAAAAAAAGAAAAAAAGGAAACAAACAATGGAATAACATATCATGGCATAGGCGCAAATATCACGGTCAACGACTGAGTTCGTATATGGGTATTTAGTCCTAATGTTTGGGCCATGACATGTCTGTTTCAAACTTTTGAGAATACCATGATAATTTGTTAACATTGTAGATTTAATTTTGACACTTTTAGAGTCCAATCAAGACCTAGTAACAATTTTGAGCCATCTTAAAGATAAGTTTGAAATGAATTTTCAACAATTTCCATATCAACAAGGTACTAACATCACTTAAAGGTGAATTATTGCCGAGAATAAATTATTTGGTTTATGTCCATGAGATGAAGCCCGTGTGAATGTCAATGGAGTAATTATGCCTTGAAGTTATGAATTTATGCCATAAATTTTAACATCTAAATATTAGATGACAACTGATATATCACCAAAAAGTTCCTTAGATTAAGCACCCAATTTTTCAAATCTTACAGCATCCAAATATTTGGGCCAAAAACTATCAAACGATTATGAGACCATCAAACGTTCATTTTTGGCAAACTTATAGTTGTGAAAACATGATTCAATGTGACAAATACATATATCAATAATGCATGAATTTGAGTCCACATTGTAAGTAAAATACGCAAGAGTATATTTGAAACTCTTCAAGGCATTTAAGGGATCAAAAGTTCTTTGAATTTTACGTATTCAAAGTTTAAATAAGCATCTTGATGAAACAAATCCAATGAGTCTAATATAACTCAATTCTGAGTTTGTTAAACCACTGAAATGTCCAAAAACACTAATAATCAAGGGGAATATTTCAAAGCGTCCAATGGAGTGTCTTGATTTATGATTAAAATAACAAGAATTTTTCCTCCTTATATCTATAAATAGTTCATGTTTCTATAAATTCAAAGGGGTCTTTTGGTGGAAAGAATTTTAAGTAGGACTTAGGGCAATTAGGGTGAATGATTTTAAAAAGCAAACGCATGAGTCATTTGGATGGACGAAAAGACCCCCTTGAAAATTTCTTATGTATTGAAAAATAGTGGACAACAGTGGGCGGCAGCCGAAAGCTACGACAAGGGGAGGTGACGACAGTGGTCAAGACGAAGATTTATGATAGACCTACTAAATTGATCGCAAAAATAAACCACAAACCCAAACAGTGCATACCTGCTCTACTCATAAGCCCAATCGACTGGGAGAGAAAGTAATCGAAGATATATAGTGGAAAGTTATATTAAATTGATTGAAATAGACGCTTACGAGGAAACGAGGCGCCGTGCCGATAAAGGAAGTCGGCCAGCTAGTTGCGGCTGGGCGGCAGCAGCTGGAGGCCGACATGATGAAGGCGTGGGAGCCTTTGAAGAAGGTGCTGCTTGGGTTTGTTGGAAGACTAGAGCGGATTTAGTTGTTGGGGGACATGTCTGAGCTACGTGGCACGCCATTTATCAACCATTAGATATTAAAGAAATATATATTTATTATTACTAGTAAAATGTCCGTGCATTAAATGCACGTGATTAAAAATTAAAAAAATATATATTATAAATATTTTAATTATATTATCATTATTAAGATGAAAGAAATGCATAAATATAACTCAATCAAATAGCAACTATTCAAATAATTTAATATTTTATAAATAGCCTCTTCAAAAGATGTATTTAAGTAGTAAATACATAAAGTTAAAAATTCTGATGGAAGATGGGGCCCGTCTAATATATATTGTACAATAAAATATTTTTAATTTTGCTCTAAAAATAAGGAGGTTTGAGTCTCATCACCAAAAAATGTTTTTTTAATCTCGAGGCACATCTAAGTTAGAAACTTCTAAATTAAAATTTTGGATCATCAAAATTCTGATTTTAGCAAAATTTATAGTCAAATTGAACATCTCGAGAAGACGAAACCAATTACACCACATTCAGTTCAATTTGAGCCCAGATGAGCCCAAATAAAAAAATCAAAATATTTTTTAAAATATCAAAGCATTAATTAAATTACAAAACGATATTCAAATATGACATGCTTATAGTCAAATCAAGTGGCTTGACAAGAAAAATCCAACAAGCCTAAAATTGCCAAATTTTGATATTGTTAAAGTACATAAATTTTCGATAAACACTCTTTGATCAATTGAATCACTATGAGCCATTTAATATAACACTCTAAATCTATCATGGGTCTTCTTCATATTTACTGAGGGTGTCACTCCCAAAAAACTATAAATAGACACATATTCCTCACATGAAGAAGGAGAAGGAAGAAGAAGAGAAGAGCTTTGAGCTTTGAAGAATCATGTAGCTCTACCCTGGCATCATCGTAGACAAATCCACGCCACCAGGTTGCTGCTGCTGAATCTCCTTCGAACCATCACCGTCAGACCATTATTTGTCATCCATTGACGAGCTTTCCTCTAACAATTGTCGTCCAACTACCGTCCTTCCTACCACCGACGCCCAACTATAGTCTTTCAGACCATCGTCACCGAGTAATGTTCTTCAAACCTCCGTCTCCCAACTACGATAAAACAAACATACCAACATTCTCTTGAGAATAGCCCTAATGTCACTGGATCCTCCCAACTTCATCTACATAATATGCTACATACAATATATATTTTATATATTGAGCTAACACCCTCCTCCAAGGAAGGGCGTTATTTGTAATCAACCACTAATGCTAGTGAAGTCATTCAAACTAGGTAAGGCCCCATGAATTTTTTTCCCTTTTCAGGATTTTCCACATAAAAAATTTTGTGTCACTTATGAATGTTGAACCCTGGTCTTTTTTCACTTTGTGTGTTGAATCTTCGTACAAAGATAGGATGCTAAACTTTATATCTCTCTACCATCACTAATATTTTAGGATGCAATAATTTGGCGTTGTATGTAGGAATGAATCTTGGGTGGGGTATAACTTTTGCTATAACGTTGAAAGGTCATTCACGTTAACATCCTAAGCATGGTTAAAGCACAATAGTCCCTTTACCAAGATCTATTATTAAGCCCAAAGGAAGTTCTTCAATATTGAGGGCATCCTTATGCACTGTTGTGTCACCACTCAAGCATTAGCTGTTTCTGCATCAATTTTTTGGGAAGCAGATTTAGACTAGGGGCAACTTTGGCTACAACCTCAAATGTGATTATGGCTGAAAAAATTTCCTCCAATATTTTTAACATCCGAGATAATGTTAGTGGAAACCAAATTTTATAAAGCTCCCAACAAAGGCAATGATGCTTCCAATAAATTTCAAGCTCATTTTTCAACTAGACTTCTACTCCTTTGGCAAGGTCTTAGTCGCATGCTTTAAAAGACATTAATTGCCTGAAGACAGACCAATATTCACATTCGATTCGGGATACATGCATTATTTACGTCCTCTCAATCAAGGCATAATTTATCTCAAAAATATTTAATTTGACCTCTTTTATATATGTTAATATCATCGAGCAATGCTCTGATAAATAACTTCAGTTAGGTCAAAAATTCTTGGTGGATTCCCTCAACCTCTTCTACACAGGTTAACATCATCGAGCAACACTTTAAAAAATAATCTTAGTTAGGTCAAAAATCCTTATTGGATTTTGTTGACCTCTTCTACTCAGTTTAACATCAACAAGCAACGCTCTGACAAATAACTTCAGTTAAGTGAAAAAATCTTGGTGGATTCCCTCAACCTCTTTCATACAGGTTAACATTATTGAGCAATGCTTTGACAAACAACCTCGGTTAGGTCAAAAATTCTTGGTGGATTCCCACGATCTCTTTCACACAGGTTAACTTGAACAAGTGATGATTTGATGAATAATATCTAATAGGTAAAAAATCCTTAATGTAATTTCCTAACTTTTGTAATATAGATTAACATCATCTCATACATTATAACGAATCTTGGTGGAGGAGCATATACCCGATTGAACCTTTTTGGGGAAATAATCAGCACATTAATCAACAAATAAAACTTCTTGCAAATCATTATCAAACAATTAAGCCTCCACTTAATTGGTAACATGATTTTATCACTTGATTGTGGCAATCGATATAGTGTCTTACCCCTCCATCAAGTTGATTATTTTTTGCTCCCTCAGTGTGCACACCTACTGTCTCCAACAAAATACTGCATACCTACACTTTCAATTCATCGCCCGTGTTCCAATGTCGCAATATCACCTAACCACAATATATTTCCTGGCTCCCTACACCAAGTGGTAGACTTATAATCGCTGAATATCTTCCTAACCATCAACCATCTTTAAAATTTTGCCTATCCATTAACTATCATCAGGTCTCCTCTCATGTGATATTACCTCCATATCTCTTTGGACCATCATATTGTACAAGAGGTGGTTGATCATCTTTTGAAGTTTGAAGAGAGAATGATCTCACATTGGTACTCTAGCTTCTACACAAAGAGGGGCATTAGAGCTTGATAGGGGATACCGTCTATTCAAGATAGTGGAATGCCTCTAATGTAATAAGAAGTAGATAATGGAAGAAGCGAGGAAGAAAAAAAGAGAAGAGAAAGAGAGGAGAAGTTGTGCTTTTCCCCCAAACCCAAGGGGGGTATTTATAGGTACAAGGAAGGGGTAGATAAAAAGTTATAGAGAATTAAAAAAATAATAATATTATGCCCGACTATGGCATTTTTTACCACCATTCCTCGATTACGGTCTTTCCAACCATAATCGCCCGACTACGGTCCTTTTGACCATCATTTCCCAACTATAGTACTTCCGACCACCTTAAACGACTATAGTTCTTCGAACCTCCATCACCCAACTATATTCCTATTGAATAAATAAATATGCAAAAATTCTCTTAATAACATTGCTCTTGTCATCAAATCCTCCCAACTTTAGCTATGTAATATGCTACATACAACATATATTTGCTATATTGAGCTAATACCCTCCTCCAAGGAAGGTCTTTGTTTATAATTAGCCACAAACACTAGTGAATTCATTCAAACTAGGCTAGGCCCTATGATTTTTCCCCCTTTTAGGATTTTCCATGTAAAGATCTTGGCATCACTTATGAATATGTACCCTACTCTTTTATCAATTTATGTGTTGGATCTTCATATAAAGCTAAAACACTAAATTTTATATCTCTTTATAGAAGCAAATGTTCCAGGGCACAATATTCATAATTATAAATGATTTTTTATTTCATTTCCTCTCACTATAAACATTCCATATTGTGCCTCTCTCATGAACTAATTAAGTTATTAAACTAGCAAGCTATATTACTATATTAGAGGACATCACCTATGTTACCCTACTTTGATAGTTATAATATCCATATATTATTACACTCATAATATTGGTAAGATTTTGATCGTAATGTAATCCCTCTTATCATCGGCTACATGTTCTTTTGTAGAGGCTACTAAGAGGAATAAGGATAATGATTTTTCAGCCCATCTCTTCATCATGATTTCCCACATATTTTTTAGGGAAGTCTTGTATCAATTCATCATAAATTGCTCTCTTTTATCAAGGTAAACCAACACTCTTTTTTAAAGAAGAAGAGATTTTTGAGTTTGCTTCTTTTTATTTCTTTCTTGTTGGAAAGTTGTTTTGGGGATGACCCAATATGGAGATTGAACATAAATTCACATTTGTGTAATTGTGTTAATGTTAGTTTAAGAGAATTCAATTTAGCTTGTTGATTCTCATAAAATTTTTATAATGCTCTCTCTCAAAGTTAATTATTTAATTCTCTTCTCTAAGAGATCATAATATGTGAATGGGTTCTCAATGATGATGCTTAAGTGGTTACCTTACTTCTAATATTTTGAGATACCTCCTATTTATCCTATATGGGTTGTTCCATCTTTCTTTAAATTCAAACAATCCTCTATGCACTCTCTCAGCTTTATTTTTGCTAAAATGTTGTAGGTGGATGCTGCTACTACCATGATTTTTTGGCCATATGTTACTAGAGTTCTAGTGGAAATGGACAGTACTACTATCATGAATTAGATTTGAATTGGTTCCATAACTCTTGTATGACAAAAAGGTAGAATTTGAAGATATTCTTTCATATTATTCTCCGTGCAAGTTTTTCAGTAATAAATTACCATGGTACTTCAAGGCACACCTATAACTACATAAATATCAAATAAACAAGGATAGTGGGGAGCATTTTAGTAATGAAAATAAATAGTCTATTGTAATAATGGTAGTTTTTGAGTTCTTCTAATCTTGTTTGTACACAAAATTTTGCATCAACATTAGGTTATATATTAGATTTAGTTATTGGCACCACACCTTGTAGCATATTCACTATCCATATCAACTGAAAGCTTCTACTCATTGATGAAAATTCTATTGTTGGGGATCTTGGTGACCTTGTCTCTTTTTTTATTAGATATGATATTAACATTTCTAGCATTTAAGACCAGTTGATAAATTG